AAGCAAGGCCTTTTCTCTTTTTATATGCCTTGATGATACCACATTTGTATTGAAAAGTGTCAATACTCTTATGGAGGCGGTCTGCCTGAAAATTTAGACAAAACCACCACCCAAGAACTTCCACTGGAAAGTACATACATGTATATCTTTACCACAAACGTCACTCGTTATTCAAAGGAATAGGTTTCTCATTTACTTTCCACCATTCTGGTTTTAACATTTTGTGCAAATAAACAACTGCACAAAGAAAAAGTATTCCCTGAAGGTTTACTTTAGCCAACATGTAGCTGCACCCTCCCTTGGATGGAAAAACGGAAAATTTTCGTCACCTCCAATGAACAAATAAGTGATTCAATAATAGAAAAGGGTGGGTAATTTAATTTCAACAGAAATAGTTATTGAATTTGAAAGTAATCAGTATAAAAAATGCACTACCGCTATTTTAACAGAACTAGTTTGCCTTGATTTTGTAACAATGTCAACATCCGGTCTCACGCAATGTGATGACTCGTATTTTCTATTGCCAAGAAAAAGAAGAAAGGGACCCTTGACTAGGAACATGGGCTGCGAAAAACAAAAACAAAAACAAAAAAGGGACTCTCGACTAAATACCCTCGACCTCGACATAAGACCCTCAACCCTCGATGGCTCGACCAAAAGTTAGACTCGCCTGAGCTGTTAGAAAATGTAACGCAAGGGTCTCCTACGTAGCAAATGTATGCAAAGGTCATCGCAGGGAAAATCTCCCGCCATAATTTAATTTTGACCAGGAAATTTCATTTCGCAAACTACAGATTTTCCATTTCACAAACTACAGATTTTCCATTTCGCAACCTACAGATTTTCCATTTCGCAAACTACAGATTTTCCATTTCGTTTCGCAAACTACAGAGTTTTCCTTTCGTTTCATTTTGTTTCACAAACTACAGTAAGCCAGAAAAATAAAGCTAGAGAAGTTGATCAAGATCTAACTGGAAATTACCTGGAAATTTCAAGGATGTCACTTGGAGACAGGAGCATCCTGTAATGTAATACACATATGAGGAAAATGATAAATGATAAATAAATGATGTGGGTGCTGATTGGCCAGTTTCCCTGTAATGTCATATGCTATAACATCACATCAGATCCCGGTAAAATTGATGCAAAACTGACGGGAAAACCTCAACTCACAAAGAACCCTTCGTTTGACTCTCATGATGCCTTCTGCTGTGGTATTCCCAATACATCACTCACTGGCATCAGCCACATTCCTTTTCAGAACTAATTCTCGTCGCGTAAAGTTCAGCCATTGGGTCAAACGTTTAACTTAATTCGTCAAACCATATTTAGAGTAGCAAAAACAAGTCGTTTGGTTAGTGGGTAATTTATTCGTTAAGTTTTTGGAGGTTTTCAAGAATTTAGGACGTTATAGAAGCCTTGGATATATAATTATGACATTCAAATACCTTGCAAGCTCAAGGAAGAAATCTGGATTGCTGGTTCGGTCAGTAAGTTCATGTTCGTCAAAGTACGAAGCCATTCCTAGCCAAGCCAATGACTCAGCAACGAAAATTCTGATCACCACTAAAATCCTATACTGTCGCTTCAAATTCAGAATAAAAGGTATGTATTGCTTCTTAATTTTCCAAATAGATTGAAGCATTCACTGTGAGGAAGGAAAATGGTTCTTGTGATAGAAAAACGAATCAGAAGTCGGAGAAAAATCGTAATCATTAAGAGATCGACAAGCCGATCGCATTCTTGTTTTGGTTCTATCTGGCGCGGTCACCTAGCGCAAGTTTCCACTGTTTCTTTCCCCGTCCCAGACTCCCCACCGGGGAATGGTCGAGACTGATTCATTGAAGAAAGGCGTTTTGGACGGTTCAGCGATACGATAAAACACAGAAATAAAATGCAGTGACGCTTCATTTTACAATGATTTGTTTATTACTACCTCCATTTCTCCAAATACAATATTTACGTCCTACATTTCATAAAGTTGTCTCCTTGTGTTTATCTGATAAGCTGAGTTCTACGCGCATTTTAATTGGTTTTAACGATCTGTTGGAGGACAAAGGAATACATGAAGTCACCATGACAATTTTTTACTTCCCTGATTCTTCAAAACAAAGGAATTCGACATATAAAGGAGGTAAGTTCCAAAGAAACCGTGGTGCTACGTCAGTGGGGGTAACAAGGAAATTTAGTAATATCAACTAAATTGAAATTGTAAATTGGCCACCGCAAAGAATTGAAAAGCTGACGTTTTGATCGTTAGCCCTTCGTCAGAGCGAAGGGCCCTTATCGATTGTGCTAGTAGAATTAGCATCTTATGCTACTAGCAGTCCAAGTATTGTACATGTTGCCAAGTTTCATTGAAGTTTTCAAGGTTTCATAATGTTCCGTGGATGGCTGATGGGCCGAGCGGGAACTGGATGAAGCGCAAATCCCAGCGTTCTAACTTGACGAAAGTTCTTTTGACGAAAGTTTGGTCGATATTATTCAAGAAATCCTCAACTCCCATTGCAGTAATCTTAAAATCATGCATCTGAATACTCAAGCAATGACGTCAACCTTCAATGAGTTTTACTGACAATGAAGACTTATCCAATGGACGTCGCTCTACTTAGTGTGTCATGGTCGAGATCAGAAAGAACTGCTTGACTACGTGTCAGGAGGTGGGTACGCTACAGAATTTCGCAATCCTGTAGCTACAAAAGGCAGGGGAGTCGGTGTCTACATGAAAGAGAAAGTTGTTTACAGAAGGCGTTTTCAGATACAATGGAATATATGAAGTTCATGTATTTTTTTGATATTGAAAAAACTCAACCGGACCTGGAGCACCTATGGTTGGAACTCCCTGGGAGGAACAAACATAGTAAACTGTTGCTTGGAGTTATTTACAAGTCAGATCTACTGACAACAGCCTCCCACTGGCTAAATTGCTTCGAGGACTTGCTTTGTCATATAACATCAACAAGGGATGGCATGGTGGTTTTTACAGGCGACATTAATTTTGACCTTACCGGTCGCCCTGACTCACTCACTACACGCTACAACAATAATAGACATGTTTGGGCTCGAGCAGATTGTTACGAAGCCGACTAGAGTCACTAAGACCTCTCGAGCACTCATCATTGATCATATTATAACTAACTACCCAATGCTCACCCCATTTCTGCTGCTGATGTCATTCCTACCAGTATTGTCAGCGACCGCGATGCTCCGTTTGCTTGTATAAATGTGCGTGTTAATCGGTACCAACCGCGCTACAAATATATCAGGAATATGAAAACCTTCCATGAACATGAATTTATTAGTGATTTTGATACGCTCCCTCTTGAACATTGTATACTCATCTGATGATTCATATGAACAATTGGAATTCTTTAACAGTATGTTCATGGAATGTCTTGAGAAACATGCCCCTCTCCGGAGAGTACGAGTAACGCGGCCACCAGCACCCTGGATGGACGACAGCCAAATACGGTCACTACAACAGCTGCGAAACAAATTCAGGAAGGAGGCCCACCAGAATGGCTCTCAGGTGTCCTGGGAACTTTTTCGGGACGTTAGAAACAAATTAAAGGCAGCTGTTCGTCGAGCTCGCGAGACCTTTATAGCGCATGTGTTATCCTCTAATAAACCGAAGGTGGTGTGGCGTATTATCCACCGCATATTAATGCCTAACCAGCTACCCTTGCGGCTGGATCCCGATAAGTTAAACTCATTCTTTGGTAGTACTGTGGAGAGAANAAAACTCCGAGCAACAAGAAAAGGAAAAAAGTAATTATAAGTTAAGACAGCCTTTTTAATGGAAAAATTTAAGGACAACTGGAATGGAAAGTACAGAAGAAACTGTTTCTGATACTGTTGACGTCAATCAGCTCTGATTGTTAATTCGTTATTCTGTCTGGTAGTTGTTGAACGCCGATTAGTTTTTTACTCCAAGCAATGGAAGCGTTTGAACTGATGCCAAAATTTTTCGCTTAACCCCATGGATTGTACTTGATTTTATCTGACAGAAATTAGAAATGTACTCGAAACCTCCAAGGTCTGTAAAATAACCAAATTATTGCATGATCAATTTGATCTACAGGCAAGTATGTCAGGTATTTGATGAATTAATTTATTTTTTCCAAAAATTTTTATATTTATTTATTTAATTTTTTTATTATTTATTTAATTTTTAATTTTTCCTTTTTTAGTTTCTTTTTTATTTTTTTTATTTTTATATTTTTTTTAGATAATTCTAATTTTTTATTAGTTATCTTTATTTTTTTTTTTTAAAAAAAAATTAATATGGCCTGTGATTGCCATAGTAAAAAAATAATAATAAAAATAAAAAAATTAGTATAGCCTACGAGTGCCATAGTAAAAAATAAATAAATAAAAAAAATAAAAATAAAAGAGTATGGCCTAGGAGTGCCATAGTAAAAAAAAATTAAAAGAAAAAAAAAAGCTCGCGGCCTAGATGTGCCATAGACCAAAATGCATTTCGATTCCAATTCCAATATGACGAGGGTAAGGATCAGAAACAGCGATTGAGAAGATGACATCGATTTAAAAAACGACCTAGCTAAGTTTCAAAGTTGAAACTCCAAAAATCAACATGAAAACTTTTCCCCACCCTAATTTCCACACTTGTCATGATTGAACAGCATTGCGAACATAAGGAGAAATGAGATGTTGGTCACTCTTAGGGAACATAACAGGTGAGATGTTGACGTGTTCTTCATGTATATTAAATCCATGGAAGTTAACATGTCAACAATTTTTAACTAATTAATCAATTAATTTCAATGTTCATTATAACTAAAACTTTAACTTGCAGGCAAAACACCAGATTGCAACAGTAACTCACAAAATTGCTCAACAGTAATTGCTCAAAATAAGTCTGATGTGGCATACCAAAAAAGTGAGCATTTTTCCAACTGCATTTAGTGGGAGTTGACAGAACTGGTTGGACAGCAGCTTACTAAATCTGCCTTAATTTGGGCAATGTTTTAGTTATCCTCTTCGTGAACCACTTGATCCAGTTTAAGTAACAGGCTGTAATTGTTACATGTGTGTTTGCTAAGAAACTCCTCGACCGCTGTTGTTGAGAGATTTCCGGAACAAAACAGAATCGT